CCAAACACCTTAAAAGTTCTTATCATCTGGTGAGTGTTGTGGTGTAGCTAGCTACAAGGGGTGGGAGAAGCAGTTAATGCATCAATGCATGGCAGTTCTTTCTCTAACAATTCTTGCTTGATTTCATGAAAGTTCAAATTCGATTCTGCATTCAAATTAGATTGTAACAGGCACAAGCTCTAAACAGAAAAAAGTATTTACAGGTACACATACACATGCTGCCGAATTCGCTTCATTTGGACAGATGGATAATTACAGGAGAGGCGCTCCGTTTCTGATCCTTTGTGCCGCCGGCTTCAGGATGCTGCTCAAATTCCTTCTGCGTCTAAAAGCAAAAGCAAAACCAAAACCATGAGTCGTTATACAGTTCCTGACAAAAGTCTTGTTGCTTATCTATTTTATAGAAACACCTGCTATTAACCTGACTTTTAATTAATCAATTAGTGTTAAAAATAGCTCATATGAAAAGCTAAAACCCACCCAAATGATGTTTAATGCACTGAAATAAATTAGTTTCGCTGAAAAAAGATTAATCATTTAATCAAGACAGAAAGGTCAAATTTGACAAGACAAAAGTTTTGTCGCTTATACAGAAATTAAACAAATGAAGTAGTGGTGCTGTAAGATCCAAATTTAATATCTTGTTTGACTTCCATGAGCTTAAAGGACTGCATCCATTTGGTTTGGCAAGGATTCATACATTTCATTGATGAAGACCTCAGGAATAGCAAAGAAAGCAGTCTTGAATGCCTTCCAGAGTTCATCAATATTCTTTGTTTTGTCTTTCTTGCTTCCTCTTATCCTACCCCACATATGTTCATTGATGTTCATGTCTGGTGACTGGGCTTGCCAATCCTGGAGTATCTTGGTCTTCTTCTCCTTGAGGAAGTTTGACAAGCAAAAAGAATTTTGTCAGGGACTATAGATGCTGTGCCTTGCTGCGCTACTGATACAGTGTGCCAGCAGTTTTGTGAAGTTATATATAAACAAATTTCAAGAGGATTATGTGCTTTTGGTTGACCATGGCTGATCTCGCATGACAATCGCATGACTAACCAATCAGATAAATCCAAACACACATAAATAATCTACTTTCCTTACCTTGGTCATCTTAGTTTTTTAAGAAAACCCCCATCCACCCAGACTCCTTCCCTCTTTCATACCTTAATAACGGGGGAGTTCTCGAGACCTACCTGAGCTTAGACTCTCTCCACCTGACTCAACAGGAGAGATCTCTAGGGTCGTGGATCCTCCGAGCTCAGGGCTCTGTCCCCAAATATACATTTATTTTGTCAAGCGTCAACTAAGTGTGAACTCTTGAAATAATCAATAAAGAAGCTGGGCAGGGTAAGAAGCTAGAAAGTATAACGTATACAGTGTATATATATATATATATATATATATATATATATATATATATATATATATATATATATATATATATATATATATATATATACATACAGTGTCAAGAGTGCAACCGAATTTGGTCATTGACACACAATGATTAAGAAATGTCCATTTCTTTCTCAAGCCAACATTAAAGTTCATCAACAAACTTTAGGTTCTAGTTTTGTTATTGCTGTGCTACATTTATGGCGGCTTTGTACTTAAACTTTTAACAATTAGACCAATTTGAAATCTATATGGGATAAAACAATAATAATTGTGTTGCGTGTACTTTTATTCACGTTTTTGTAATATACACCTTTGTGTAAAAAATTTGTTTAATCACACTAGCTTCATTTTGAAAATACCTTGTAATGTAGCTATCCAGAGTAGCTACTCCAACATTGGACCTGATCAACCTTAAAGCGGTTAATTCACCCAAAAATGAAAGTTCACTCAATATTTATTCACCTTCATATTGTTGCAGACTTTTGAAGAAAACTGAAAACCTTTAGCTATTGACTTTTTCTACTGCATATATATTTTTAAAGATATTATTATACGATTGATAACCATAAATAGTGCTGCTTTAACACCAGGTATTCATAGGCCCTAAAATAACCTTAATTAGAGTTATTTTAGAGCTCTTGCACCATCCTGGCCTAGGCTGTAAGGAGGCTGTACCCCTCTCCATCATGAGGACTCTCGCCCCGAGCACTGCTGTCTCCCTGTCCAAGCCTTCAGGACGCTAATCGCTGTGCTTGATCGATGGCTCTGGGGTTAGCACAGCTGTTTAAGGTGACAACGCTGGGGCAGGGCAATCTTTCACTTTTCTTTTTTTACACTGTGGACTCATGCAGACTCATGCAGTGCAGAATGATAAAGCACCTTGGTTTGCTCAGAGGTACTTGGACAAGCTTTGCAATTCCTGCTCTTAAGTTGCATCATCATCATCATCGCCTCTCTGTTCTGAGTCATGCTTTTAATCATTGCTGCTGAAAAATTCCACTTTTTACTGTTGGTCATAAAGCGGGTCATATAGGTCAGTCCAAGATGGTAATTAACTGATTATTAGCTTGTCAAAACTGTCAACAGCTGATTTAAGCTGGTATTACATTTATTAAAGCTTGTCATTAGCTGAAGAAAACTAATCAGCTGCTTATTAAATCTACCAAGGTTATTTGGTAGATTGAGGTAGTCTAGCTGTTTTAGCTGCTCCAAGCTGGTCATTATCAAGTCAAGACTAGTCATCAGCAGGTTTGTGAAAACTGGTAATTATCTACTTATCAAATGTTTGAACATGATAATCAGGTTGAATGAGTTGGTCTAAAATAGTCTTTAGCTCAGGGGAACTCACCAAATCCTGTCATGTCAGAGAGTTCATTGAGTTTGGACTTCCATTAATGACAGCTGGCTGATCTCCACAGTGAACCTCGTACTAATATTGTGTAATAATTGTATTTTTTTTCTCTTTTGGTTTTGATGAGATGGTTTGTCTATGCAGTTTCAATCATTGAGCTGCACAGGACAGTAAAAATGACAGACTACATACCAGTAGTATTAGTAACATTTATAATTATATTAATTACAACAACTTTTGTGTAGCCCCATCGTAAAATGCACCATATAATGAACACATAACATGTCAACATGGGCATCACGGTGGCGCAATGGGTAGCACAATCGCCTCACAGCAAGAAGGTCCCTGGTTCAAGCCCCAGCTGGGTCAGTTGAAATGTGTGGAGTTTGTATGTTCTTCCCGTGTTGGTGTGAGTTTTCTCCGGGTGCTTCGGTTTCCCCCACAAGTCCAAAGACATGCGCATAAGCTAAATTGTTCGTAGTGTATGTGTGTGAATGAGAGTGTGTGGGTGTTTCCCAGTGATGGGTTGCAGCTGGAAGAGCATCCACTGCTTAAAATCATATGCTGAATAAGTTGGCGGCTCTTTCTGCTGTGGCGACCCTAGAATAATAAAGGGACTAAGCCAAAAAGAAAATGAATGAATAACATGTCAACTTGAGTAATAATAATAATAAAATTGTTCACATTTCACATTCTATGTGGTTCAAATGTGACCTCCCTGACCTCTGAACAGAAGTTCCCCTGGGCTACACTCAGGTACCAATTTAAAGACACATCATCTCATCTTTACATCATCCATTGTGTAAATGGCAGATGGTCCTCTTAGCAGCATATAAAAACTAAACAAACAGTAAAATTAATAAATAAACGTCATTTTAAGTCATTAAAACTGCTGAAATCATCTTAAATAAAGTCTTATGATGTAAATTGTAATTTGTGGACCTTCTCATTTTGTCCAGTTTAAATGTAGCCCCCCTGGCCTCTTAACTTTAGTGCCCTTCACTTTTTATTAGAAAGTAAAAGTTAGTCTAGCAATTTTTGCTTGTCTGAGATGGTGTAGCTGATGAATACTGGTAATCAGCTGCTTATTAAATGTACTGAGAAGATTATTAAGTAGTATAAGGTATTCTAGAGCTGCGTCCAAAATGGCATACTTCCATACTATGTAGTATGCTAAAAACAGTATGCAAACATTATGCCCAAATTTATAGAATTCAAAAAACAGTATGTGAGAAATACCCAGATGATCTACTACTTCCAGTAAGATTCTAAAGTGTGCTTCAGATGGACGCTACGCTATCCCATGATGCACCACGAGAGAATTCATGAATGAGAGTAAAGCAATGCAACTGACGCGGGTAGGTCACATGAAGATGACAAAATTGTGGATGTAGTATGTTCGAGTTCCATTTATACTTCTGACATTCATACTGTATAGAACATACTTTTTTTAACGGCCGAGTAGTACATATAAAGTCAAATGCAGTATCTACTGAGTAGTAGGTGATTTTGGACTCAGCCTAGGTGTTTTAGCTGATTCAGTATATGGTCATTAGTTCTGGTCATAAAGTGATTAGGCCAGATTTGGAATCTTTAGCTGGTAGACCAACTTGGACTGGCAACAAACCAGCCAACGCCTAGTCATATTACAGCTTAGAGTGGTCATGAACATATAGCAGCTGTTGGATGTTAAGTAATAAGTACCCTCTATCCTCTAATAACCTGCATAGATCAGACAATAGTCAGTTTTGACTGGTCACAAACCAGCTATTTTGGTAAAGTGTTTCCCCAAACATAAAAATGTACTTACTATTTACTCAACCTTGGGTTCCAAACCTTTATGAGTTTCTTTATTTCATAGGAAAAATAAATATTATTAAAATCAATGGTTAAAGTTTTCCAGCTTTCTACAAAATAACTTCTTTAGTGTTTAACAAAATAAAAAAAGTCAATCATGTGAAGGGTGAGCAAATGATGACAGAATTAAAATTGGGAATTAAAACTATTCCTTTAAATGGACAATAAGAGACCACTTTGGCATAAATTATTGGCATCAACTTATAAGTAAGTAAGTACTGGGGCACATGCCAATATTAAAAGCTTGCTGATGTATTGTTTTATGAACCTAATCTCTTAAAGCATGGATAGGTAGTGAAGCAAAAAAAAGTTCAGTGTCATTTTGCATTGTCAAGGAGTCTGGTCATTGTCAAGGAGACTGGTTTAAATACTAAAAACCACTTCTCTTCCACAGTCTGAACCCATACAGCTACGATGAGAGTTGTGTGTCAAGCAGCGTGGACCATCTACCTCTGGCCGCTTTACCGCTGCTCGCCATAGCTGCTCCACACTACCAAGATGCCGTCGCAACCGTGATCGCCCGAGCCAACCAGGTGTACCACAGATTTCTGCAGTCTCCAGAGGGACAGGGATTCACTGGCCAGGTGGGTTCAGGAGTCAGTAATATTAGTGTAAAGTCGCATTAGAAATCTTGAGCAGCATCTTTCAGATGTCTCTTTCAAGCAATGCAAATTTTTCTAAAAATTTCTCTAAAATGATTGTTATTTCGAATGTTATCACCTAGAACAATTTCTAAAGAATAAGAGCTCACAAAGACACTGACCAAGCAAACATATATATGACATAACATAAAAGTAATTTCATATCATGTTTCCCCCCCATTTATATCATATCATCATGTTTTTCCCCTAATTAATTTTTTATTTTATTTTTTTATTGAAAGCACATATTCTTTCTCTCTCACTCCACTCCTTATTAATAGAGAGGCTACTTCTAAAGACTGTTAAGAGGTGCACAGATTCAGGTAATTCATGCTTAATCATCAGCCAGGAAAATGATATCAATTATTCAAAAGAGCAAAACACAAAATGCTGGAAATAGCATAATCCAGTCAGTCTCACTTTTCCCTCAAAAACGTTATTTGTTTGAATATATGTGCATTGATTCTTATGTATCATTATTTATTATTCATTGCTTTTAATGAGCCATGTTTAATTGATTGTAGTTTTCTTTTTAATTAAAGCTTCTAAAGCAGTGGTCACCAAACTTGTTCTTGGAGGGCCGGTGTCCTGCAGATTTTAGCTCCAACCTTATCAAACACACCTGAACAAGCTAATCAAGGTCTTACTAGGTAAACTTGAAACATCCAGGCAGGTGTGTTGAGGCAAGTTGGAGATAAACCCTGCAGGGACACCGGCCCTCCAGGATCAAGATTGGTGACCCCTGTTCTAAAGGAATAGATCCCCCTAAAATTTTCCATTTTTCCATTCATTTCCCTGACTCTAACCCTGTTTCAATTCTTTTCTTTTAACACAAAAGAAGATATTTAGAAAAATGTTAGAAACTGGTGGCCATTGATGCCCAATTGTAGAAAAAGACCACACTAAGTGAATGTCTACCAGTTTTCAATATCTTTCTTTAAAGTATCATAAATATTAATTAAAAAACTCCTTCAGGAAATCTATCTATCCATTGATCCGTCTGTCCATCCATCCATCCATCCATCCATCCGTCCGTCCGTCCGTCCGTCCGTCCATCCATCCATCCATCCATCCATCCATCCATCCATCCATCCATCCATCATTCTTTTATGTCATCTGTATACCATTCTACCTGTTGTTCTGTCCATTCATTCATATCTATCTATCTATCTATCTATCTATCTATCTATCTATCTATCTATCTATCTATCTATCTATCTATCTATCTATCTATCTATCTATCTATCTATCTATCTGTCTGTCTGTCTGTCTGTCTGTCTGTCTGTCTGTCTGTCTGTCTGTCTGTCTGTCTGTCTGTCTGTCTGTCTGTCTGTCTGTCGGTCTGTCTGTCGGTCGGTCGGTCTATCTATTGTTCTATCTATCTTTCTGTCTATTGTTCTATCCATCCATCTATCCATCTATATCCATCCATCCATCTGTCTATCTATCTAGTTGGTAATGCTGGGATTCACCTCATAGCTGTTTTACTGCTTGGTTTGTGTTAACATAACATTATTAAGTTGACTTTCTTATCTTTTATTTAGGTTTTTTTTTTTTTTTAATAAAGAAAAAATATTTATGGAAACAACAGCACAGAAAATCTGAGCAGGAACTGCTGCGCATTTTTGCAGCCAAACAACAATAAAAATGACCCCATTTTGAGTCCCAAGCCTGAAACGGCTTCCTTTTATTTTTCTGTAATAAAAAAAGAATTGGCCACACAGGCCCAGATCAGTATCAGGAAGGCAAATGCTGTGCAGAGAAGGAGTTGGAAGGGTGTGCGGGTCTCTGGCAGGGATAGTGACTCATCAGTGATGAGTCATTCAAAACAGACCAAAAGGAGGGGGGTCTTTCCACTCGTCTTACTCCATAATCTCACATGATTAATCCAATAACACACTCCTGTCAATTTAGAAGGCACAATGATTTCCTGAAGTGGTGACCACAGTTTATGAGCTCTGTGTCAAGTGTTCACTCTCTAGTGAGTCGGACCGTTCAGATAGCTCCTGAATAGCATATTAGACCTGGTATTGGAGAAAAATAGGGGTGGATTTGGACAGAACATAGCCTTGTAGCTCATTTGCAGTGTGCCACAGACTTGCTTGTTGACTTAGATAATTAGACCTGTGGATTTGTTTGTTTGTTGAGCATCCATACATTATTTGAGCTCACTGTAGAGGTGCTCATCAGCATCAGACAGGAAAGAGTTGCAGCTGTGATGTTTCTGTATGATTAATTAAACGTGTTATTTACTTTAGGCACACTGTAAATTGAAGTGCCATTATGCAATCTTGAGATTTGCCTGACAGTGTTGATTGCATGCAAAAAGGCTGCACTGATTCTGGTTGATATTTTGTTTGTGTACAGGTGTGTTTGTTGGGTGACTGCGTGGGAGGTGTGCTGTGTTTCGACGCTCTCTGTTTCAGCAACAGCCCACGACACAGCAGCCCCATCCATAGCAGTCGACACAACAGCACAGAGAGCTTAAAGGTATATACTGAAACACTTATTCACTCATTTACAACACAATTTTGATATTATGTCTGAAACTTCTTGCATTCTTAATTTTTTTTTTGTCGAAGTAGCGATTCTTGTTAAATAGTTAACATTTAAGAATGCACTGCTGAAAATAATGCAAAGTATTTGATTTCTAAACAGCTTTTTTATATTAGTTTTTCTCAGTCACTTAGGTAAATTTCTCAGATCAGAATTGAAATTCTTAAAGCTACCTGTTCAGTCTTCACATCATTGTTTCACTTGTGCACATCAGAAAAGCAGTTTCTCATTCCTTTGAACAAGGCCGGATTAACCAATAGGCATTATGGGCACAGGCCCAGGGACCCGTGCACACTTGGGGTCCCTGCGAGGGGGAAAAAATGCAGATTTTAGAGTGTCTATTTAGTGCAAAAGCACACCTCGCTGGAATAAGCTAGTTGAGTGGTTCCCACCCATCACTGTTTGATTGACACAGACCACAACATTAAAGAACGCAATTAACAACAGTGTGAGTGGCGTAGCTCATACAGCGCATGCTTTGACATGATCGATCATGAACCCGGTTGGAATTCCAGCATCTGATAAACACGTTTTTCTCTTTTTACCCATTACATATCCGATTTTGCCTACTCCTCATCAGGAGGAAGAAAAGTAGGAATCATTAATCAGTGTGTGTATTATAGAAGACTCAGATTCATAGAACTGGATTGGAGAGGTGTTATATCCAAATCATATGCTCTATAAGTTTGTAGAAGTTATACATTAAAAATACCCTTAAATATATATTTTTAGTACTGCTTCTGTGAATTTGAACATGTATATACATGTATTTTCATCCATTCATTTTCACTGGTTGTATTAGTATTATTTTTAAGTATGCTTTAAATGCTTTATGAATAAGTTAAATCTTTTGTAGGCTATATATGTGCTGATGTACTGTATATAATATGTTTTAAAAATGCAGACAATGCATTATAGATTCATTCATTCATTCATTTTTTTCCGGCTTAGTCACTTTATTAATCCGGGGTCGCCAAAGCGAAATGATCCGCCAACTTTATCCATCACGTTTTAACGGAGCTGATGCCCCCTCTCTGGGAAACAATCACACACACTCATATACTACAGACAATTTAGCCTACCCAATTTACCTGTACCGCACGTCTTGTGGGCACCCATAGAAAACCCACGCGAATGCAGGGAGAACATGCAACATGAACATTGCCATAGTTTACATCAGAACACCACCCAAGTGTACACTGTTGTATTGAAAGCATTAACCATACACAAGGACACAAAGAATTGTCATTCTGACAGCACTGACACATTCATTGATAAAGAAATTTAGTTTTGACAGATGCTAAGGATTTTTGGCAAGAAAGTAGGTTTTGCAGGTCATCCATGGTGTTTTGCTATTTTGTTTGTGTTGATTTGAGAAATGCATGTACCAAATGTACCAAAGTGACTGAGAAAAACTGTAAAATAAGTCATGATGCTAAAATGATTGACAAGTTTTTAATGTAAAATATTAAAATAGATATTCATTCTGAGATATTTAAAGGAATATTTTTAAATCATCTTGATATTGATGGGTTTTATCATGGCAATGAAAAAATTGAAAAATATCTAAAAAGGTAATTGCATGCACAAATATTTAACCTGTTTTATTAAAAAAAAAAAAATATATATATATATATATATATTTGATGATGATGATGCTTTCCATTTGTTAACTAACATTTAATGCATTAGTTGACATGAACTAGTGATAATTTGTTTAAAAGCAATTGATTGTTCTTAACGTTTATTTCAGTTATTGAACTGTTTAATAGAACTGAGCTTATATTAAGATGAGCAATAACCAGTTTTATTTTTTTTCATTAACTTAACATTAAGACTTATAAATGCCTGCCTGATGTATATTATTATTAACTAATTATACTTTTTTGTTACCAAAACAAACAAACATATATACATACACAAATAATTAACTAATATAGTATTAAACAATATCAATAAATTATGTTAAATAAAATCTGTATAAATTAATAAGTAACATAAGAGGTGCAAATATTTGTTTCCTCGTGATTTAATCCCTTGATATCTTTAACATCTTTTTTTTTATCTGTTAGATGGCAGTGAGATTTCATTAGCAAACAATTTGACACTTTTTCTTAAAGGTGTAGTTTACCCAAAAATAAAATTTCTGTCATCATTTGCAAATCTTACATCTTCTTTTCCTTTTAATTACGACAATAAAGGAATCTGGCGAATGTTGGAAAGTAGCAGTCATTGATTTCCAGAGTATTTTTGTGATCCTGCTATAGTTGTCAGTGTCTGCTTTTTCCGAAATTGTGAAGAAAAGTTCATTTTTGGATGAACTATCACTTTAAGTCTTATGCTTTTCATTATTTTCTCCTTGTACTAACAAATCTTTCAAGTTGAAATCTAAACAATGCCGCAAACAATGCTCATATATGCCAAGATACCAAAATCTGAAAATTTAATATCTCCACAAAAAATGTCTCATCAGAATTTATGGCAAAATCATCTGAACTGTTCTATCCACGTTAATTTTCCAGCTTTATATTCGAATGCCAAATGTCAACTGTTGATTCAGTCTATTTTCATCTCTGAACTTTCTGAATCAAAGAAACATCACACAGTTTAGTCTTCTGAGCTATGAAAGAGCAAATTCCAGTGGGTTTTCCTTTCACACTGCTATGATCTTCAGGGAGCTGAACAGCTGTCACACTTCCAGACTTTATTTGACACTGTACTTCAGTGCTCGCTTATAATATTTGCACATTAATGTGAATGATCACTCTGTTCAACCGTCCACTTCTCACTCTATTCACATTCTCAGGATAACCCTGACGTCAGTCCGAGCCTGAGCTCCAGCAAACGCCTTAGCAGGAGCAACATCGACTTATCTGCGCCCAGCGAGACCCGCAACAGGAAAACTCCACTCAGCCGCAAACAGAGCGATTCGTATGATGGAGACTCTGGAGGTCAACACCATCCGTTCCTCAGCAGGTATGGTGTACTTGAAAGAACAGAGAACAAACTTGTAGCCATGCTATTTTAAGATGACGGAGTAAGTTGTTGTATTACAATGTTTTTTTTTTTTCTATGCAGAGGCAATCCTTAAAGAGTTTAAACACTAATTTTAAGCAATGCTCTTATTTTGAGTTGCCTGACATGTTAGCATTAGCCCAATGGTAGATGGGATGTTTGTTTGTTTTTTGTAAACGAATTTTTTTTTAATCAGCATCATTACGACCTTAATATAAGGATAAAAATTATAAAACACGTAGTGTTTTTTTCCTGGAATTACTATTTTTAAAGAAACTGTTGACCTAAAATTGAACCAGATTTTGGTAAAAACCCAAAAAAATCAAACATAAAATAAAACAAAGCAAAAAAAAAAAAAATCTGAATAATATAATGAAATGACACAAAGTGTTAAAGTACTGAACAACTGAAATGTATTTAATATCTTATATAAAAGGCTTTTGCGGTGATGGCAGTTAAAAGACGCCTCTCATATGGAGAATGAAGTCAAATGAATTGCTCAGGTGTGTTCAACAGTGTAAACATCTTGATAGTTCTGTGGGTTTCCTCTTTCAAATCTAATCTTTAATATGTATTCTATATTGGATTCAGGTTAGGTGATTGGCTTGGCCATTCTACAGCTTGATTTTCTTTCTCTGAAAGCATTTGAGAGTTTCCTTCCTGTGTTTTGGATCATTGTCTTGCTGAAATGTCCACCCAGGTTTTATCTTCATCATCCTGATAATGTAGATGTTGGACTGAAGCAGCTAGTGTTAATTTACAATGACAAAGGGCAGAGGGTTGCTGAAAAACGTTTAAGAGATTTCAGCTGCTGTCTGGGCTTTTACTGCCTATTTACAAATCCCTTTCTTCATGTGTTAATTAATTCATTAATTTCTGAAAAAATATGGTGAATCGTACTTATTTTCCCCGCTGTACCTCAGTTGAGGTTGGTCTGTGGCAAATATATATTAAATAGGAGGGGCTCTATGGCTCCGCCTTTTTAATGTAGAAATCTGCTGATACACTTCTCTGTTCAGTCCATAAAGATCAGGCTTAAAGGGCATATATTATGCACATTTTCTTAAGATTCATTTATTCATTTTCTTTTCGACTTAGTTCCTTTATTACTCTGGGGCCACCACAGTGAAATGAACCTCTAACTTATCCAGCATATGTTTTAGACAGCGGAAGCCCTTCCAGCTGCCACCCATTACCGGGAAACATTCATACACACTCATTCACACCTATACACTACGGCCAATTTAGCTTACCCAATTCACCTATAGCACATGTGTTTGGACTTGTGGGGGAAACTGGAGCACCCGGAGGAAACAGTGGCGTAGCGGACGGGCCCGCAGAGCACACACCGCGGGGGGGCCCCGCGCGATTAGGGGGACCCACGTCGTCGCGATTTTTAATAATTGAAAATCCAGGAACCGCAATAATCAAACTCTTGGGAACAACTGTGGCCGGAACCAAAGTTTACAGGTCTGTGTTCTCTGAATTCCGCTCAAGCGGTGGACTACTTCATTCTGATTGCTTGCCGCCGAACCGCGTCATAGCCAATGAAGACGCGCCGCTGTTTCTCGCCGCCGGTTCTCGTTAAAAAATGAGTGACTGTTGGCTACTTTGACGCTCTCGCCACTTTCGGTTTGTGATCGCTCCTCAGTTTGTGAAGGATTCCCTTCCCTAAGTTTTTTTACATTTTTGTATGTTTTGAAATTTGTGTTAAACAGGTCACGTTATTGATAATAGCTATAGTCACTTACTGCAATTACCATAAGGCAAAGTAACACCAACTCACACTAAACACTCGGTTTATGCTAGGTTTGTTGAATAAATCAGCAAAAAATGCAAAAGAAATATGACAAAGAGATGCTGCACTGCCAGAAACTTGTATTATTGTTGGCTAGCGAACGAGTCGTTCATAACGGAGATTTATTCACAAACGAATCGCTCCCTCCGTCAGTATGAGAAGTGAAAGCAGGAGAGGAGCTGTATTTCAGCACATGATTAGATCAAATTTAACAGGGAGAGTGAATAGTACATTTCCATACACACAAACACAAGCTTTTTGTCAGGAATGCCCGTGCGATAAGTGATCCATCAATGTAGAAAAGTGGTCAAATAAACATTTTCATAATTAAAAAAAATGCATACTAACATCCAGGAAAACTCCCGATCATAGATATAGGTGTATATCTATGTGTATATGTGTATATACACCCCCAAGCTTCAACTTAGGGGCCCCGTCGGTGATCCCTGCAGGGGGGCCTCCGCATTTTGCGCTACGCCACTGGGAGGAAACCGAAACGACACGGGGAGAACATGCAAACTCCACACAGAAATGCCAACTGACCTAGCCGAGGCTCAAACCAGCAACCTTCTTGCTGTGAGGCGATCGTGCCACCCACTGTGCCACCGTGACGCCCTTTTCTTAAGATGTAATAATAATTTCAGGTGCCTCCAGAATGTGAAGCTCAAAATTACCTTGAAACATTTTGCCATTTGCCATGCATATATCCAGGCTCTGATTTCCCATTTTAGGGGATATTTCTAAATATACTTCTCTTTTTATGAGTGGAAATCAGAACAAGACTACCCAGAATGTGTCCCCCTGGCCAAGTCATCCATGAATTTCTCACTCTTTTTCTCATTTCATTTTATCAATATTGGCCGCTTGATGGCTTGTTGCGTCTGACTGCATGTCTGCAGTGCTATTAATAGTCACAGCTGCAGTCCGTGTGCAAGTACTATATAAAAGAACGAGGCACTGACTGAACGATGCCTTTTTTAATGTAGAATTTGCTCAATTCCACAGTGCCAAATGACCAAATATCCAGCTATTACTCTTCTAAATTATCCTATTTAGGGGATTGTTAGGGGATTGATGTAGCAAGAGGGATTTTGCAGCACTGTTGTTGTCGCACAGCTCTTTCATCAAATGAGTTCCTTAAATTCTCACATACAGCAGTGACTTTCCTTGTTTTAACCCTTAATTCAAGAGTTCACACTTAGCTGATGATTGATAATTAAAGCTTGTTTGGCATGCTGTCCCAGGAGAAAGCCCTGAGCTTATGAGATCCTCGAGCCCTGGGCTCCCTCCCGTTTGCAGGGCGAGAGGGGAGTTTGAGCTCAGGTAGATCTCGATGACTCACCCCCCTGCTTATTTGTAGCTAAGTGACGGATATAGATGACTGAGAAGAGGTGTACTCGCTTGAAGCTTGACTAAGGTATACATTTTGTGTGTTCAATTTGCTTGGGGTGCTTGTTATTTGGACTGTGGGAGGAAAGCAGAGAACCCGGGAAAAACCTATGCGAGCACGGGAGAACAAGCAAAACTCCGCACAGAAATGTCGTTTGGTTTAAAAGGAACTTAAACCAGAGGCGTTCTTGCTGTGAGGCAACAGTGCTAATCACAGACCGCTGTGTCGGCCGTTTGAAAAGGAGGGAAAGTAGGGTTGGGTGGAGGAGGTTCTTCAAGACGAAGATATTGAGATAGGAAAACTCTGGTTATTTATAGTGAGTTAGGAATCATCTGATTGCATAATTGGTCATGAGCTTATGCTGGAACAGCTGAGAACAATCATAAGCATGTGCTCCTCTCGAAATTTCTTTATAAATAAACTTAATTTAGAGCTAGAAATTAGTTATGTTAGTGGGCTTAAAAATTGCATATCAAATAAAGCTGTTTATTTAAGTTCAAGTTGAGGCGAAGCTAGTATCAAGAAGTAAGTTGAGTCTAACTTGAACACATTATTTTAAAGTATGCATGCCAAAAGCTAGACTTGATTTTTGCCTGTAAACTACTTATGACATATATTCCAGATTAAAAAAAATTATTGTAAAAAATATTCAAAATGTGCCATGTTTTTATATAACCCCAAATCAAAAAAAGTTGAGACAGTATGAAAAACGCGAATGACAAAAGAAAGTAGTGATTTTCAAATTTACTTTGACTTGTGTTCTGTTGATTCTGTTGATTGCCAGTGGTGTTTTCCGGTTTTTGCTAGATCAGATATCGTTGCCGCCGGAGGTTAACAATAAGTTAATTTAACTTTCCCATTTATGGTATTTTATTATCATCTACCCTCACCCCAACCCTAAAACCAACCATCACAGTATTGTAAAAACAATAATTGTACGTAATATTATTTATGCTATCTATTAAATTACCCAATAAATTGTATGTTTTTTAGCCTACCCCCTCCCTAACCCTAAGCCAAACCCTCACAGTACTGTAAAAATATTAGGTATATACAGTGTCATAAAAAAAATGCTGCTACAATATTTTGATGTGCATATTTCTGTTGAAAAACGGGAATGACAAAAGAAAGTAGTGATTTTCAAATTTACTTTGACTTGTGTTCTGTTGATTCTGTTGATTGTCAGTTGTGTTTTCTGGTTGTTGCTAGATCAGATATCGTTGCGGCCTGTTATTAGGTATATACAGTGTCATAAAAAAATGCTGCTACAATATATTGATGTGCATATCGCATTTCCGGCCGGCCCTGTATCCGATCTAGACATTACCGTGTTTTCTCCGCTGAAGATCACTTCCTTATCCTGTTGAACTACAACTCCCAGAACTCTTTGCACTCATCAACTCCTGCCACAGCTGACAATAATCTGGACACTGACACTGTTTACCGACTTGGTTATTAAACTGCATGTGGATCTTCATTTCCGTTGTTCAGCATCCCAATTTCATTGCAGACAATATGAGCACAAAATATTTCATGTTTTGTCAGGTCAATTTCTTTTGATTTGTAAATGCACACCCTTTCCTGTCATTCAGACCTACAGTACAACACATTCCAAAAAAAAGTTAGGACAGGAGCAATTTAGGGAAAGAAATCAGGTAAATTGGATAAATAACGATGTGATTTGAAACAGGTGATGTCAACAGGTAATTGTAATTATGAATCGGTACAAAAGCAGCATCAGAGAAAGCTCCAGTCCTTTAGGAGCAAAGATGGGCTGAGGATTGCCAGTTTGCCAACAAGTGCCTGAGAAAATTATTTAGATGTTATAAAACAATGTTCCTCAAAGAAATATATTTAAATATTTCACCTTCAACAACAAAACAATCATGAGGATCACATTAAATAATGTGCTGTTGTACTGGCTGCAATGAAAATACTAGTCAAAGTAAAAGTAGAAATAACTTTTTCTGATTTGGAGTTGTACGTGTTCATATTTGTTTTTAACAAGTAGCTTTTTACAATAAAAATCTTTGCTTAATGGCACTGTGAGGCCAGTGGCTTAGTCGACTGATGTTGTCAATTGACCTAGTGACCTCCCTATTACCAGTACCTACATAGCAACCTATTTTGCCAAGGTTTTTATATCTTCCCCTTTGTAAAGTCAGAAAAAGGCAGCTGAGGGGAGTGCTGTACAAAAGCACTGATTCTCACTCAGGACTGATAGTGGTAGACCTGAGGGAGACTTATCACTTAGCTCATCCATACCCCTCAGCTCTACTACATTTCACTCCCAATCATCCATCCCCGGGGCCCTCAACACCCCATCCTTTTCACACTCAGAGAGAGGTGAGATAGCCAGTCAAAGTCTTTAAGAGCTTTTCTATCATCACTGGTAGCATGATGGTAATAAAGACAAACAATGTGCTAAAACGGGGTGGAGATTTCAACAGCAGGGTGGAAACAATAAAGAGTAGTTGACAGTCTGAAGATGATGATTTTGTGATGTGATCCATTGGGATTCATGTTGATTTTATATCAGTGCAAGCATGTTTTTTTTATCATTCTAACTGAAAATGAAACTATGTTAACAAAAAAAGTTGTAACAGAAAGTAGGTGCATCCATACATTATAACCTATTTCATAGTATCCTATGGTATTTTAACAAAGGTAGCTGTAACAATTATATTGGCTTCTTCAGCAATGAAATATTTATTATTTCTATTATTTTAAATGTGCACTGCCGTTTTGTTTTCAGTTGTATTTTACTGTCTAGTATAGAGATTTACAGTAAAGAGCCAGTGTGTGGGTTTGATTTAAGTTTATCTGTCTAGAAAAATCTCAACAAGATTGTGAACTTGGTGGACTTTTTTGGTCACAATCAGTAATAGGCTTGATTAAAATCAAAAGAATTGATTGTAACCAAAGAATTCCATTAAATTGCTCAGTCTTGTAAAAGAACTACTAATACTCATTGTTTTATTGTCTCAAGTTTATTTTTTTTCTAAAGTCTTCAAATTAGCATCGCAAATATTAATTCCATTGCTACAGTATCATTCGTTACTATGTAATGTCATGGTGATTCTTTACTGGCTAAACACCCGCTGGTTTAGCCTGTCTGCTATAGTAGCCACGCCCCAAATGCCCCTAACTCAAATCAAATCAAATCACTTTTATTGTCATATCATCAGCAGCACGTGTGCTATGATGAGTGAAAAGCTTAGGTTCTGGCCCTAGACTGTACAAAATACAGACAGTGCAAATACAGACAGTGCAAATAAAATGACAGTGTAAATACAACGACAGTGCAAAATACAGACAGTGCAAATACAATGACATTGTGCAAAATACTACAGCATACTCCCTAAAAAAAATGATATGTGCAATGAATAGGTGTCCACAAAGTTGTTGTAGGCAGTGTTGTTTCAAGTATTGTGTTTCAAGTGTTTCAACTCTTGCTATTGGTCGATTGATAGATTTGAGTGGACCACTCACAGAGTTTCAGTAGCTGCATTTTCACTGTAGGCCAGGGCGAACCATGGCTGTTATTGGGCCGGGCCAATAGCCCAGGAGGTTGAGCAGTGAGGCTGAAATTATGTTGTGTTCCCATTGTCAGGCCAATAGCTCACAGCACAGCATGCAAACCCTGCCCCAGAGTGCCCCCCGAATCAAACGTCAACCCAGTTCAGATCCAAGCAGATCAGGCAGATCACATTATCACAAACGATTAAAATGGAGACAACCAAAACAACCAAATTACACATACAGCATTGTATATGTCTATATGCATTGACCTTTGTATTTTAGTTTGTTATATTCGTTTACTCGCCAACCAACTATTGGCATTGGACATTGAGTGGTCTCCACGCTATTGTGTTGAGCCTACAAAAGTGGATATGTGATTTGTAAAGTTTTATGTCTTTCTGTTGTATTCATATTTTGTATTATCTTTAAAATAAATAAAGAAAGAAAGAAACCCAGCCGCTCGCGGCATCAACAGAGCTGTATAGCGAGTGCTCTTTCACTCTTTCATGCACAAACACACCTTTTAAACTTGACAAAAAGTGTTTTTAATGTGGTGTAAAGATTATTATGAGTTATTGAAACATCAAGAAGGACGAAGCAAAGAAATGTCACTTATTACATTAAAGCTACTTTATTATTTCAAATTAATCTCAAAATTTATTAGCATTTTAAACTTTAATCTGTCAAAAGTTCAACACGACCAAGAAATTTTGTGCAATTTTTTGTCACAATCAGATGCTATCTTGATTTTAAACCAAAAATTCCACCAAATTCAACAATCTTGTAATTTAGTGATTGATTTTTTTAATTAATGAAATTTTGTATGTTAATTTTTTATTTTTTTTTGGTTATAGTAACTTGCTTAATCTCATAAAAGAACTACTTATTGTTGTTTTATTGTCTCAAGGCTTTTTTTGTCTGAAGTTTTCAAATTAGCATTGCAAATTTTAATGTAATTTCTATGTGATGCCATGGTGATCTTATACTGGCTAAACACCTACTGGCTCAGCCTGTCTGCTATAGTAGCCACACCCCAAACACTAGCTATTGGTCAAGCTGGAAGGTACCACTCTCAATGTTTCAGTAGTGGATCAGTGTTTAAACTTTTTAGGCATGTAAACGCATACTTGCGTGTATTAGTCAGTGAGTGAACACTAACTCAAATTTGGTCTCACTTTATTTTTAAGTACTTATAATTTCTGCTATTAACCTGACATTTAGCTCATTAAACTTCTATTTAACTGCTTATTAATAGTTTGTAAGGTAGTAGTTAAGTTTAGGTATTAAGTAGGATTAATAATGTAGCATAATATCATAATTTAAGTACTAGCTAGCCAATATCTTAATAAAAGGCAAGTAATAGGCCAGTATTTAATTAGGCTTTTTACTGCATAGAGAATTACAAGGTGTTCAACTCCATCAAATTTTGTACCACCTCCTTATTTTGGCAAAAATCAGGCAGGCAAACTGTTAGAGACATACACCAGTTGATGCTCAAGCACTGGTCATGGATTTCATTACATTTAATGACAGCCTTTTTAAATAAGATGGTGTTTTACTTGATAAGAATACTAGAACAATGTAAATTGTGTTTGATTTAAGGATACCAGCTCCTTAATAGTGAAAATTGATATTTACTGTAAACTAAATTGTTACGACAAATTCTTACATGCTTGAGCTGTTAGTAAATGTCATCCTTTGTGTGTTTGTATCCAGTCTGATACAGGACGGAGCAGACTTAAGACCAAACAGCAGCACCAGTTTAGTGCTAAATCCAGGACGCTTTGACTTTGAAGTGTCGGATTGTTTTCTGCTGGGTTGTCCTCTTGGATTGGTGCTGGCCATGAGACGCACTGTACTTCCTGCTGTCCAGGGTTTGTATGGAAATTCTCCAATTAGTAATGAGGACACACTGTCCTCTTGATACACTTGCAAGCATTCCCATTAGACTGTCCTGTGCCGTAGTCATATTTACAAATAATTAGATCATTTTCTGTTTATCCTGCAGTGTCTCAGCTCCGGCCAGCATGTTCGCAGATCTTCAACCTGTTTTACCCCTCGGACCCATCGGCGTCCAGACTGGAGCCTTTGCTTCACTCCCAATTCCACAAACTGCCTCCGTTCCCGGTTCCCCGATACCAGCGCTACCCTTTGGGAGATGGACGCTCCAACCTTATCGGTGCGTGACATAACCCGTTTAGAATTAATTAAACCGTTTGCTGCTAAACCACATGCACAAATAAAACGCAATATTCACCCATTTGCTGTTTTTATTATGTTTATAATTGCTTTGTCACAGTAATGAGCTTATCTTGGGTTGCCGAATTGTCACTGTGTTATTTTGAGGCATGATTCTGGTTCGGTTGTTAACAAGATTTTCTTTCTCAGAGGGAATGTTTGGTCATATTTTTCTATTCGTTCATTTTTCTGACAAACAAACATGTACAATTCTGTGCCCTATTACATTCTTTTACTCTGTGTCAGGTTTTCTGGAGCTTTATTCTGTTCTGCACACTGGTTTCTCACTCTGTAATGAGGTCTTGATTTATTTAAAGCATATTTTATCCTGCTTTTCAGACATATTTAACTTATATGTCATCCATTTTAGGCTTGTCCTATATACTAGACAAGGCTTAGATCTAGGACAAATATTATCGTGCTGGTGACGTACCCTTTATAAAGCTTTCATAAATACAGCAAAATCATCTGGGCTCTGAATGATTTACTGCAAATGAACTGGAAGTTCTGAAGCAATATCAGAAAAGAGCTTTTTCCACAACACAGAATAAGGTCAAAACCATAGACTGGAAAAGATGTGGACGTAGTATCCGTGACGTCACCCATAGGTTTCTAAAGAGAGCAAATGAAACTACAAGCATGGCCAACCGCCGCCATTTTGTTCTTGCGCTATCCTGCTGACCAGGGGCAAAAAAAAAGGGCAAAGTGGCAGAGCGTCAGTGGAACTACAGATGCCTGCTAGCATTTTGCTTAGACAGGCTTTTCTTTGGGAGAAACGCTTAATACGTTATGACTTGCGAATCATTTGTGTTCTGACCACATATGCTTGGTTGTGTACTATATCAATAAAGTGTTTAGTCTTTTAAAAACACTGTTGTTACACACTGAGTCACTTAGCATTGTTTTTATGACGTTTTCTACAGGAGGAAAATGAATTACTTCCAAATACTTTAAATATAGTCTCTGTGCAAGGCTATTTATCAAATACAGGCATAAAACTGTATGACAACGTTTCAGATGAATGTTCTAGAGCTTTCAGCTAATCAATCTGTCAGATTCTGGAGTGCATTACAGGTCTAAAGAAAATTACAAATGATAAGAAAATAAATAAATCAAATGCTTTTATAGAGCCGGAATCAGCTGTGGTGACTTGACTGCAACCAGCGAGACCTAGCTGTCACTCAAGGGACCACCCCCTTAAATATGCAGACTTAATATAACTATAAAAATGAAACGAATGGGTTATAAAAAAATTCACCCCCTTAAAGTTGTCATGAAGGGTAATATTAGATATACACCAAAAACCAGGCTGTAAGCACCTTTTTTAATGCTATAAAGTTGGCCATTTTAACATTGAGGTCAATAGAAATGTGCTCTATTATAGAGCCAGGAGAAGCAGATTTTCGATGAATTGTAGTTTCAATTACTTCTGTACTAGCTTTATGAGGGAGACCGAGATGTTGCCACTTAGTCAAAACAGCAGAATTTTTACATCTTTTTATTGATTGTTTTAAAATTGATTTAGAAGTGTATTTGTGAACCGAAATAATTATTAAATAATTAATAAATTAACCAAAAATAATTACCTCATGGATCATAAAACGTGTGCTAGATATTTGTAAATAAGCTGTCGTTTGACAAGAAAACAAATATACAACAGTACTTGTGAAATCTTCCTGAAAACGAGGGGATTATAACCCTCATCAACAGCCTTTGAGAGGAAAGAGTTTGTGTCTCGCAGGAAATGTGACACTGACTTTTAATTATATCAAGTCTCGCTCTACTGATCATAGGTGAAGAATGTCACAATGTTTGTTAGATACTGAGGCGTGGATGTGTCTAATTTAATGCATGCTCACACACACACACGCAAACACACATGCTCGGTTTTAATGCTGTAGTTAATAATTGCCATCCTAATGGAGTATCTCTGCAACGGCCTCCCATGTGTCAGCTTCTTTCATTATGAATCATTACAGATTTACTCAGCGGGCCTTTAATGTGAGAAACGTATCCGATATCCATCTGTTTTCTTGTTTATGCTATTCCTGTGCATTGATTCATTTCATTTTGGCGACAGAGTAAAATTGAATTCATTTCAAGTAACTGGAAACTGAAGAATGAGATCCCAAAAGCTATATGTGGAGCGACATCATGGCGTTCATGTTCTTGTTTCACTGAAGAACGGTCTGATTCTTTCTTCTGAACTCTGTATTCCTCTCATCTCCGCATTGCCTTCAGCCTCTCGTGTCTAGAGCTCATATACTACCTCAACCTCATCTCAAAGGTCTCTTGTGTTATTCCACAGCGCAGTAGCCAATGTGGATCCTGCTGAGCTTTAGTCTTCAATCTTCTCAGAGTCGCTCAGCCTGTATTTTGAGAAAGACCTCTTGCTCACTTGACCTCTCTTATTGTATTGCAGTGCATTTTTCCTTTCTTTTTTTTGTCCTGAAAGTTGAGGTTTGGTTCTTGCTGCCATGACGCTAACCTTTACCCATGCTCATGAAGTGTTACAAATATTATATAATAACTTAGTATAGATGGAAATTATATGGAAATATAGAAGGAAAATATTGATGATTTTTTGAAACACTGATATTTAGCAACTGGATCTGCAGTTCATAGGGTGTATAGCTAGCAGTTTATGACCATTTTGTTTAGTTTATGACCACTTTTTAGTCATATCACACATTAAAGTTAATTTTATATAAAATCATGGGGTCCCCCAAAATAACAATGTCAGTGACTCGCGACCCCCATTTTTCAAGGTGGCTATACTGTAAATATATAATTGCTGCAGACACAACTATAGGCATATATAAACATGAGCATATTGACAACACAAAAATGCAACAGTCTATTAAGCATATAATGTTTTTTTTATTGTCATTTATTAATTTAATTACATTTTAATATAAAAATTAAAGGCTGATGGCTGATTTTTATTTGTATGTTGTTGTTTCTTTAACGCAACGATTTATCTTCTGTAGGTTATGAATAAAATATGGTAATTCAAATAGTTTAATAAATTTATAATGGGATTAAAGTGAAAGATGTAACTCTAAGAAAGTATATTGTGTACACTTTTTTTTCTTTTGATTGAAATTAATTTTGTTTTCTGCCAGGATTCATTAAAATGAAAGAAAACATTAATACAGTGTTACATTTTTCACAAAAATATACACACTTCTACACTTTTCCTGGGCACCAAATCAGCATATAAATGAAAGTTTAAAAGTCAGGATTGTGAGCAATTGTAAGAAAAGTCTGTATTTTTTCTTTTGAACTGCACTCCATAACTCACAATTTCTTAACCCCACCAATTCTGAGTAAAAAAAATCAGGTTAGCACTTTAGTTTTTGTTTATACTGTAACAAATATTACTAACAACAACAACAACAACAATAATAATAATAATAATTATAAACCTGTTGGCATTTCTGTTTGGAGTTTGCATGTTCTCCCCATGTTCGCTAGGGTATTCTTTGGGTGCTCCGGTTTCCCCCACAAGTCTAAAGACATGCGCTATACAGTAGGTGAAGCGGGTAAGCTAAATTGTCCATAGTGTATGAGTGTGTGTGTGAATGAGTGTGTATGGATGTTTCCCTGTGATGGGTTGCAGCTGGAAGGGCATCCCCTGCTTAAAACATATGCTGGATAAGTTGGTGCCACCATTCCACCTTGCCGACCCCAGATTAATAAAGGGACTAAGCTGAAAAGAAAAAGAATGAATGAATTAATGAATGAATAATACAGTAAACCTTTTTTTATATAGCGTTTTCAAAAGTAACATCTCAAGGCACTTTACAGACATATAAAATGTGTTGCATTAAAAATACATACAAGCATAAATGAAACTAATAAAATAATTAAACACATTTATAGTTTTAAATGATGATTTAAAAGTATTCAGGGATTTTGCATTGCGATTATCAGAGGGTAATGCGTTCCACAATTTAGGTGCCAATGAAGAGAATGCCTGATCTCCCATAGATTTTTGACTGAGCAGTTCAAGACCAGCATCAGATGAGCGTAAAGCAACTCAGATAAAAATTGTGACGCTAGACCAATCAATCAGGGGTTATGTGCCATGTGTTATTAACTAGTGTTTTTTTCCTGCCTATTGTTACAATATTGGCTGTTTATTAGTAGTTGTAAAGCATGATCTTATTATATGTCAAAAATCCTACCCAATACCTAAACCCAATAACTAAGCAGCAAATGAGAAGTTTATTAAGCTAAAAGTCTCAGTTAATGGTTTGTAAATAATTGTACCTTAAAATAAAGTGTGACCGAAGTTAGAGATTGTTTCCTCTCACAATTATAAGAATATATCACACAGAACTTTATCTTACTAGCTAGCAAATGTAAGTTTGTATCATGCAGTTCGTTAAAAAATAATGAAAATTGTGAGATAAAAATATCACAATATATATATTGTAGTCTTTATTCAGTCTTTCATTCACCCTGAAGCGCCATGACTGTTTCATCCTTGAATTTTTTCCTTTCTTCATTCACACCATCACTTTCTCTGTTGCTCAAGTCTCAGCACTCAATGAAAATGGAATGGATGACTCATGATGAACTTAGGAAGTGGCTGTGTAATTCTCTGTTTTCAGTTATCTATCCTCTGTTTGATATCTTAGCATTGCATCTGTGAAGTACACAAGTCAAGTGTTTGCTCATTTGTCAAACTAATCTCTCCCACAAATGTTTTCATCAGAATCACAACTGAATATGTTTGCTACCATTTAGACTCGTTCTCCGTCTCAGTAAAAAGGAGTGTGAGCCTTTTGTAAAAGGCCATTTCTCACATAAATGGATGGCTTCGGTAACACTAATGAACTCTTGTAAGGGAAAGTGTGATCGGTATCCTCATGTCTGCATAAAGAGCAGCTTTCTGTCCGGTGTTCATCCAGAATCGGCGTAATGGTGCTTTCT